TAAGACTATATAAATATAAATATATAACATATATAAAATAATGTATTATATGACATTATTGCCTCTGCATTTGATTACTATCGGATAGGGTAATAACTACATAATTAACTACGTCTGAAAGCAGAAGTCTGGGGCAAATAATAAGTCTCTTCAGTGCGCATGTCACAAAATGAGATGCATTGTGGGACATGTATTTTATTGGCAACGTGCTTCTGTAAAGCGGCATGTAACCGTATAATAAACGTATTATATTCCTTGCAAGCTCTTGCAGGGCCACATAAATGAAGTCGCGGGCCGGATTTGGCCCCCGGGCCTTGAGTTTGACACCACTGGTCTAGAGCATTTGATAAGTACTGAAACATTGAAATCACTTTCACTGAAACCCCTCCTGGTAAAAACAATATGACAGATAAAGTACACTGTGTGAGAAAATTGATCATGTGTAGTATTGTTTCTCCCTCTGTTTTTCTCTCGCATATGAAGACACAGACAATCTTTGAATACAAGTGCTTACATGTAGAAACAACACATTAATAATTCATAAAATAACCAATTTCAACTCCTTTACAGTCTGCTTTGCTCCATGATTACACTTCCTACTGCTGCGCTTCACAAATCAACATATTTAGATGTAAAATAGTATCAGAGGAGAAAAACAAATGATAGTTCGGTTTAAAATAACAGGTAGATATTACAGATTTTGACAAGTGTATTCTACTCCTAAGAATGAAATACAGACCCTACGAGACAGATGGTCTTTAACCTAGAAATAGAGAACAGACGCGCGCATTTGTTAAATAGACAATTATGAATTCAGCCCAGGGGTTGGCGCGTGATCAAATCGCTGTGCCTCTGTGATGTTTCCACAGCTTTGATCTCTCCGTGTTAACTCTTTCCGTGCGGCTGCATCGTGCCCGCGCTCGCCTCGGCCTCGCTCATAGCCCCGTATGATGGGGAGTGCTTCCTGTTTGGCCTCCAGGCAGAATCAGTGAAATCGTTTTGGCATGCGAGTTGTGAAGCAGATTCTCCTCACAACTGTCGGCCCAGGGGTTGAGGCCTTTACGTACACAGAAATCCAACAGCTGTGACATGTCTCCTGTCACAAAGCAGGCAAAGCGTTTATGTTCAATGCAGAGTTTTTTTTCTGACTGTTAAAAGTGTGTACCTCAGTCTGGCAGATGCTCATATTTTTCTAGTGTTAAGCCACTGATGTCACATAGAAACTGTAAATGTGTTTGATTTAAAAGGAATATCAGCAGCCTGCCTTCTCACACTGTATATTTCAGCACCATGGAGAGCGACAGGGCACCATTGAAAAAGCAGACTGGTGCCCCACTGAATATTTGATTTACTCAGGCATTACTGATTGATGGGGGTGTATGCTTCCAAGGAATCATGAAAAAAACCTAAAAACCCCCTCACTGCTAAACAGATATCTATTCCCTCACACGCGAAGTTGACAGTTTTGGAGGAACACCTAGGTCCAACCAATGCAGTCTGACGCTGTAAATCCTGCTGTCGTGTTGGCATAGTTCGTTTTTTTAGGCAACTTTTTATTGTATTATTTCAATTTTATAGACATTGGACCATGGAGGCTTTAGTTTGGAATCCTGTCTGACGATCGCCAGGTTTACTTTATTTACTTTAATTAGTAGTCTTAATCAAATCAAATCAAGTTTTATATAGCACATTCATAAACGATTTTTGGTCGAGCCAAAGTGCTGTACATATAATAAAAAATAGCCTACAGTAGAGACACTTTACAGCAAATACAACAGCACAGATTGTTCAGAATATCAGTATGAGAAAAACGACACACTCTATCTAACTTCCAGAGAAAACCCACAGTTTAAGGGGAAAAAATGGGAGAAACCTCAGGGAGAGCAACAGAGGAGGGATCCCCCTTAAAGGTCCCTTGTACTATTATACAAAATCCACTTTTTCATGTCTTTTCTACATCAACATGTGTCCCCTCTGCGTTACGAGATTTGGAAAGTTTCAGAAACAAATATTCTTTCCCTTTTTGTCCTGATCCATTTATATAAAAACCTGTCTGAAAATGAGCTGATCAGATTTTGGCCACTTTGTGATGTCACAATAATTTGTTGGGGTGTGCAACGATTAGCGGTTAACCAACCAAGGTAATCCCCCCCTTGTCAACTGAATCTCCTCCAAGAGCACCATTGTTTTTTTCAAACCAAACATCTTACAGAGTTGAATGTTTTCTAAATGCTGGGCATGTGTTGTCAGGTGGTTGCTGAAGATGTTTCTTCACACGCATGTGTTTTGGCACATTTTAGTTTTTTTATTTGCATCGTTTCGGAAAGTGCAGCAACTGGGCCCCCACCCGCTGGGAATTTGTTGTTTTTCTGGAAAATTACCATAGCCTCAGACCTTGAGGTGCTGACACTCATGCCAATCTCTTCATGCTCCAGCGCATACTGATGAACCCATCAGAAGCACATCTGCACAGAATAGAGAAGCAACTCTGGGGACCCCAAACTGGACCCTAGTGTATAAAAAGTACAAGAGTGGTTGATACAATACAAATAAAAGAATGGGGAATATAAAGCTAAACAGCTGGTTAGCTTAGCGTATCAGTAAGACTGGAAACAAGGGAAACAGCTAGCTAACACAATCCACTAGTCAGCAACTCTAAAACGTAATGAATTGTTCTGCTATTATTTCCTGAAGCCGACAGGTCATTATTTTTTATCGATTCCACCTGTTTATGCACTGTAAGCAGAAAGACACAGGAACGTGTGTGTGTGTGTGGATCTGACTGTCATATGGTCGTACAGCTGTGTACTGACATGATTACAAAGGCCAGATGTGCTGACCAGCTGTCTATGACACAGCCTGTTTTTTTGTTATGTGTTTCAGTGTTTCCCACATAATTTGATTCTGCCCCCCCCCCCCGGCAAGAAAAGCCAAAGGCCCCTTAACCTATTCGGGTGGCCCATGCATCCAACCCCCCCACCCTCAAATAAGAAAATACATGCGAGTTCATGGCTACTGTAGACAACGTTCTTGTTGCTCTGTGTTGTGTTGTTAATGAGTGAGACACACCGGAGTTGAGGATCTGTGGGGTTTATTCTCGCAAAAATATGATTTACAATTTAGGCATTTAGCAGACGCCTTATTCCAAAGCGACTTACAATGAGCAATTACAGGGACATTCTCCCTGGAGTAACTAGTAAGGGCACACTAGTAGTGGTGTTCCAGGTGGGATTTGAACTTGCAACCTTCCGATCATCAGCCCACCTCACTATCCATTAGACCAGCCGCCACAGATAAATCAATGTATGGGAAACACTGTCATTATATGAGGGATGAGGCAGCACATTGTCGTAATGACAAGGGCAGATTCAGAAGTAACACCACTTTTAACTCAAGTGATTCAAAAGAACTGTGGATCGTGTTGTGTGTGTGCTTGTTGTTCCTGTGCGATTGTCTTGGTACGTAAGCAAGAATACGATTGGCTTATAAAATTGGCTTCATTCAGCACTTCCCACTTCACTGACACTCAAGCCCACAAGGGAAATGTTTGTGTGTGTTTGCGACACAGAAGAAGAATGTGGTTGCAGCCCATATATGGGCATGTAGTTTGGTTAGAGCCAGTGCGTTCGCTACAGAATGAATCAGAGTGCTGTTACATCAGAGGTACGGGCAGGCGGGATGGATCACTTGCACTCCTATTGGTACACACACTTCCATTTGAGTGTGTGTGTATTTGTGTGAGTGTGTGCGAGAGAGAGAGGAATGACACAAACACATACTCAGATGGCCTACTTTTCCGCAACATGGGGATGTAAGGACTGTTATGCAGCAGTGATAGCGGGTAGTGCATCAACACTGTGAATGAATGGGAGTAGATGGACAAAAAAGAGGAAGTGACTCCCATGTACAGAACTACTCCTCAAACTGTTACTTTTTCTACTTATTTAATCAGAAAAATATATCACAGAGCAGAAGTTTTGTAATTTTTTACTGCTGTTCAGTTATTGCAGTTTCAGGATGTCCCTCAAAGTCAATTCAGGTTAAAAAAAAACCTTTGTCAATATGGCCATGCATCACCATGCAGAACAAAAGGAAAGGACACCAATCACGTTATACTGTACCTCCCATCCAGCCAGGACCAGAAGAGTTAAATAATGTTGTAGAACCCTTTATTGACCCCCATATCGACAAAAGACACACTGAAATGTAGCAATATAAGTATAAATATCAAGGCTTTGTGAGTTTCCATCCGACAAAAGCTCAGGCACGTGGGTCGGTAAACCAGACCAACATTTGCCAAACCAACCATTCTTCCTCCTTGAGTTCTTTTGTCTTGAAAACCTTTTTGGAAACATTCCCCATATAGCATAAAGCATGGGTTGTACTCTGAAGCGAACACATACAATTACATCAGTGGACCCATAGTGGTTTTGTTGATTGATTCTCTCCGGAGTCTGCTTGAAGGAAGCATTCTACAGTACATACTGTACTGTGTGCTAACGTTGAGGTCCCTTTTAACTAATGCAGTCTAACCCTTACATTGTTTAGCAACATTTTCTGCATGGGGTTATGTGTGAATGGAAGCAGGGATTGACATTCAGGAAAATTAGTACGTCAATATCCTACTTTAGGACATTTACATTACATAGTTACATTTTAGGAAGAGGATTCTACTACTGCGTTGTAAATTGAAGGCGATCTAATGCGAAGACCCAACTTTTGAAGTCATTGTATCACTTTATCGACTTTTAGCGACTGTTTAGCATTCAAGCCAATACTTTTGTGAGCGATTTGTCTGGTTGTGCATGCTTCCCCTTGAAAAAATATTATTATTTTTGAAAAGGGTTCTTATAATTTAAGATATATGTTTTTCTAGTAGCCTAGTCATCCTGTGTATGCAGCACCAACTTTCACACCTTGTTAAATAATTAGACATACAGTATGTGACTGCAGAGAATATTTATGGAAATTGGTATTTAAGTGGTATTTTTCTTTTTCAGGAACATTTCAAGGCCAGTGGGTCGGCGGGATGCGGCATGGCTACGGAGTCCGGCAGAGTGTCCCATACGGCATGGCGGCAGTCATCCGCTCCCCGCTCCGTACCTCCATAAACTCTCTGCGCTCCGGTTCGGAGCACAGCAACGGCACAGCTCTGCTGGACCGGACCGGCGCAGTGGTTCCTGGTACTCATCCTGGTCCTGGCACTCTGACCACCAGCGTCTCCATGTGCAGCACAGGCAGCAGCGGCAGCAGCCCCGCTGTGTCTCGGGGGGGGTTTGTGCTGACGGCGCACAGCGAGGCTGAGCTGCTTAAGGGAAAGAGAAAAAGTGGACTGTTCCGGAGGTCCATCCTCTCCGGGCTCAAGCTGAGGAAGTCCGAGTCCAGAAGTTCTTTGGCCTCCCAGAGGTCTAAACAGAGCTCGTTCAGGAGCGAGGCTGGGATGAGTACCGTGTCCTCAGCTGCATCTGATATCAACTCTACTATCAGGTAATAGCAGGAGTAGACAATGGAGGGGGTGTGGTGGGAAAGCCCTACTGCAGGTCAGGGAGGGTTACGGCCTACTAGTTAGTGAGGTAGAAGGTTTAGTACCAAAAATCAATGGACACAATGAAAGGCTTCGTTTTATATTGTAAACCGGTACCCTAGGAGTTACTCTGGTATATTTCGCACCTTACAATTGATGTCCAATGACAACCTTCAGTGCCAATTTTCTGAAGCATTTCGGTTCAGACTTTGATGCAAGAGACTGGAGTTAGACTGGATTAATGTCTTAGTTTTTTACTAACTGTTTCCTTTTTACTAAGATCTTTCTCCACCTAATTTCAATAAGCACCTTAATGTAGAAAGCAAGAATACAAAAACAAGTTGGGATTCAGTCTGATCCAGGTTTGAGACGTCCAATATGAAGGCCCTAGTCTGATATTAAAGTTCTGATTGTCATACACAACATTGAATTTTGTACACATTATTATGTAAAGATCTATAGGCTACTGTTCATCTTTAACTGAATTAATCTAAAACCTTCCTCAAGTCCCCAAATATCCTGTTTCACATAGAAAAATGTCAAAGCTGTTTCAATGTCCTTTCAACATAACATAAATAACGTCATACTCTGCTAGCTGACTCTGCACTTAAAGCACTCTTACAATCAAAAGTCCTGAAAAAAGAAACTGGAAACAGTTAAATAATTGGAGGAATCAGAAAGTGAGTCAAACCAATTGTCATTGAGTAATTACATGAATAAAAGCAGGGAGAAAGATAGAGTGATTAGACAGGAAGTAATGACGTAGGCCCGCTGAAAGCAAACCGTCCTTCATTGGGAGGATTCAAGGTAAGAACACGCACCTGTCCTATTTAAGCGTCTTAAAAATTGATTGGAACCCGGTCCAAATCGGCCTTTAGGTCAAAAGATTAGGTTGCTTGTCAGCTGGCCTGATAAAACGTTTACATTGTCTTATCCAGTGTTAAGCCTGTTATTTACACCTCTCTACTCCACTGTTTCTCTTTTCTGATCAATCGTATTGGAGGCACCAGCCAATAGTCATTCAAAGAGTGGACAATCTAATAGGTACCAATGGCGTGTTATATTCATTGTGTAAAAAGTAGCAGTTTGACTCCGAATGGAATTAATCAATCGTGTACCAATAGAAAGGCTTAATGTAAAATTCCAAGTACGCTGGATTGAGTTGGCCTATTTCTAAAGGTACCAATTACTCGACGACAAGAGTCAGCAGCTCTTATCCTGCTGGTTGGCGAAGTGGCTGACAGCAGCTTATCAGGTCTGATTAATTATTGGCAAAGCTGATAAGGAGAACAACTTCTAGGTTTGTCCACTCTACTGCTGTAAATATGTATACAACATTGCCTCTCAGGGCTCGTATATGAATGCAAGATTAAATACATCCTTTTTATGGAGTGTATTGCAATTTATACAATATTTACTGAAGTGTAAGATATTATCATCTTGGCAACCCAATATAAACACACATCTTATGCTTGGCCAGTAAAAAGCATACTAAAGGGAAGTAAAAAATCTAGGCCAGAGGAGGCAAGATTAAAACAAGCCAATGTGAAGATTTCCTAGCAACTTGTAAAGGACTGAACGGTAGCAGACCATGGGGGAGTTTCATACAGAGGTTTGCTTCATATGAATAGACAGGGACAAGTGAATGGGGGAAATATCAGTGAAGCCTTTTTACTGTATTATTTATTGTCAAGTTCTTCAGACGTTTATCCTACATAGCACATCCAGAAGAAAATATACATTTCCAGTTGTGATCTTTTGAATTAAAAGGTTGTTTCCAAATGTTTTGCTCTAAAACGTATTAGAAATAGTTGAACATTATGGAAAGGTCGTTGTTATGACCTGGCTCAAAAGGCCACAACAAAGAGGAGACACACCATATCAAGCTGGATGCAGCACAGCCACACCCTCTCCAGATGAACCCACAGGGGCATCACAGTCCTATATTTTCTTTGTTTCCAGGTGACAAATTATATCAATCTTAAGTCTTTATGATAAGAGTTTAGACTTGACTGAGGACATGTTTAGCCTAGCTTAGCACTAGACTTTAAACAGAAGGAAAATAAGCCATGAAACTTCCCATAAAATCTCACATTTTAATTTTTCTCCTTCTATTTCTCTTTGTGTGCAATTTAAATAGACTTCATACTGTACATTGTTGAACTTTGTAGGAAGTGATAGGCTTATCATTTGGTCAGGCTATCTGTTCTTTCCATGCTTGCAGTTTTTATGCTAGGTTAAGCTAACCACTTCCTGACCACATCTTAATACTTTATAAACACTGGGGATGGAAATCATTGCCATTAGCGTACCAGCAAAACCGATGCCACATTTTATCTTTCAGCCTCGGAGATGCAGATGCAGAATTGGCCGTCGCAGACGACGATGTGGACGCCACGGCAACAGAGACCTACTGCGGGGAGTGGAAGAACGACAAGCGAACAGGATTCGGCATTAGCCGGCGGTCCGACGGGCTGCAGTACGAGGGGGAGTGGCTTAGCAACAAGCGCCATGGCTACGGCTGCACCGCGTTTCCTGATGGCACAAAAGAGGAAGGGAAGTACAAACAGAACATTCTGGTGAGCGGCAAAAGGAAGAACCTGATCCCGCTTCGGGCCAGTAAGATCCGAGAGAAGGTGGACCGAGCCGTGGAGGGAGCGCAGAAAGCCACCGACATCGCCCGGCAGAAGGCTGAGATCGCCATGTCCAGGTAGGCGCTTTACGCTGGTTTGTGGATGAGTCTGACTTGTTGGGTTAGTCATTCTCCACCATTCCTTTGGTGCAAGTAAAAGGCCACCAAGTCTAGAAGTGGTTGTGTGTTTGCTAGCTAGGTCATGGCTAATGTGATGTGATAGAGGCCTTGAAGATCAACTTTGTACTGTTAGAGATGGGGTCCTGAATGAGCACAAACATTACTTCCAAAGCGATTTATTTTATTTTCACATGAGAGTTTTCTTGGTTTGTGTTCTGTCTGTTTGTTTCCTTTTACTGGTTTGAAGTGACATGGGAAAAGTACTAATATATCTACAAGGTTTTACAGAGCCTGGTCATATGGTGTAGCCATAATCACTTTCTTAACATTTCCACTAGCTGTCTTCATGTTCGTACTAATCTTAAACATTTCATCTTCAAAATGAACAGAATACAATGAACCATCAGTGTCACTGACCAAATCAGTGGCTCTTAGCAAAGGAGACTGAGAACACTGTTACAGTACTTCCTCATTAAAGAGACAGCGAAAGACAACAAAATCATGACCAGATAACTCTCTCTTGCCAAAGACTGTATTTTGAGCCATTAACATTTTGAACTCTATTCGTATGAATCTGTTTTTAATACTGAAAGTAAAGTATCTAAACTAGGATCATCCTAATCTAAATCTAGAACTGAACTGAACAGTCAGAATCAGCACTAAATGTTGAATTGGTGTGAATGGATAGGCATTCACTCATAAAATAATAAAGGGAACTTCAACGGCGATGTGATGAAAAAGGTGAATGAACTCTATAGTCAGTGACAAAATGATTGATTCCTCAACTTCAGCACTTTCTTTTTCTATCTTATCTTCATGTCTTTGTATTGTTCCAGAGTCAACCAAATACTAAGGTCTCCATGTGTATTGTCTGACTCCTTGAGGGAGTGATAACACTTGTAGAAGGCCTGAATACGCATTGAGATCAATGGAAGATTAAGAACAGGATTAGGGTTAAGGTAAAACGAGGGTTAAGGAGGTTATGTAAGTGAAGCGGCACGTAAAGCGAGACGGTCAGTGGTAAGGTGATGATGAAGATGTTCTGCTGAATGGAAATGAGATCTTGCTCTCGTTAGAACTGCTCATTGAACTAAAACAATGGGCACTGTCTGGGTTTTGATGCTAATGGCCCAGCCCTGACCTTCTTTACAGATCTAAAACTTTTGGACAGGAAAAAAAGCAGTAATCTTTGTTTTTCAGCCAAGAACCATCTAGAAATGAATTAACTGTCCTGGGACCAGTAATCATGGATACACATCGACACTCTGTGTCATGTGGAGAGCCATCACAAGTAGGCCTATGACCTATTTTGCTACCAGACCTTGTTGTTTCAAGGAACCAGGTTATAGGCCATGTATACAGTAGTTCTGTGGCACTACTTTCTGTCAAAACTTATTTTTAAAACCTCATTAGTAGATTGGGGTTGTTAGGTAAGGATTTGATAAGAACATTGAAAAAGTGTCGAAGTGAACATTTGGATAATGAGTTCAAGCCAATATGAGCAAGCAATTTGGCTGCTAGATTCACAAGATTTCCATTCTGCAGATACTTTTATATCCACCAGAAAATAGTTAGCCAGTTCTGAAAAGTCATATAGAAACACTATACAACACTTAGTTTCCCAATGGCTGTATTGGTATGTAAGCCGTTTTTAAGATGAATCTGAGTGGAACAAGTGGATGATTGGCTGGATTGAATCAGCGCTTGGAAAATTACTTGGAATTTCCTCTGACTTGCATTTTTAAAACTAAAGGTTTGATCATTACATAATGGCAAAAAGCATTTGATTGTATTGTAATATGTTCCCTGTTGGCTTTGAAATTAGATAGGATTCTCTCTCAATTTGTTTTTTTCGTGAGTTTATTTATTTGGTGAAATTGCACTTACCGAGCAAACATTTCAAACTTAAATTGTCATTTGGATATTAAACATCTTCAAAGAAGATAACTAGCCTTAAAATACCAGCACCCATCTGTTGGGTTGAGTTGTACAAGAGGTGTCCTATCCTGCAAAGGAAATATATGAGCAACAATTGGGATAAATGTTTACAGGTCCATTCACAAACCCAGTGACACTGAATTGTGAATGAACCTGTGGTCCATAAAGGGGTTAGGTTTACTATCTGATTAGAAGTTGACCTTGAAACAGATCAATAATGGAACACGCTAACAGCATGTCAATTACTGTAACTTACATGTAGGTCTGGGTAATATATCAATACTATATGGATATTGTGATATGAGACTAAATATCGTGTTGGATTTTCAAGTCGAAAAGTGTATTTTCGTGGTTTTAAATGCAGTACACAGTAATGGGATTTATTTTTGCTGAATTTACCAGACTGTTGTAGCTGTTTACCCACTTAGCCATTATACCCACATAACCAATGCAATATATGTAAAAACTTCACCATTAGTTTACTTTACAATATTGTAACAATATATTGATGTATTTCCTGAAAAATGTATGATATTTGATTTCTCCATATTGCCCATCCCTACTTACATGTACACAGTACGTGTCATTGTGCTTGCATTTGTTGAAGAGAACATTGCCTCATTCATACATGTGTAAAGACTAAGATGGACAAGCTAGATAAGGAAATAATGTGAACACACAAGTATTACAAAGAAAATAAGTGAGAAGAAAATAGTGTAAAAGTAGGAGTTAGAGATAAAACAATCCAAAAGTGAAACAGGAAAAGTAAATGCGAGTGAGATGTATTACCGCATTATGCAAACAATGTTGGCAGGCAGCCTGAGAGGGCAAAGATACTGAACTATGGTCCACACACACACACACACACACACACACACACACACACACACACACACACACACACACACACACACACACACACACACACACACACACACACACACACACACACACACACACTTATGACAGTCTGTAGGGCAGTTTGACCAAAATGTCCTACAGCTGCTCACCTTATTCAGTGGACACATCAGTCACTGGTCTGTCTTACAGTACATTAAGGATATATGGAACAAAACCTTGCTAATACAAGCGGTATGAATGCGAAAAGCGGACTCTAGATTTAAATATAGAGCTTCCAACTAAATTAGTTTGCGAGGGGAAGTATGTTTTTTACCCAGCTATGTTTAGGCAACGAAACTACCTGGTTAAGAAAAAAGATCATGGTTTGGCTTGAAAATAAGTATGTTTGTATATCGTTGAAGTTACGTACGATGACAATTTGACTCCTGGGTGAAAGTTAGATATTTGTTTGAATCCTTTATCCACCCAAACCCTACATGGATATTCACAAATGATCTCTTCCTCAAAACGTTATTGACAATGCAACCCTGGCTGTCGTAACCCAGCATGTTGTATTTGTCCGTCAAACTGTTTGCTTCTTTGTCAATCTGTTGGTTTACATCTGTCTGTCTGCCTCTGTCTTGTTGTCAGGCTATAATCCAGTGGCTGTCTCTCGTTTAAAAAAAAAAATCATTTAAAATATATGTGGGTTTGAACTATGTTTGAATGATCATAATCATAGTCACAATTCGTACCTGAATCTGGCTGCTTTAAGAAAGTAATGTGTAAACCTACACAATCAGGTGATGTAAACTTCAGCTAATGTATGTTAAAAAGAGTTGTCCTTGGATACTTGTGCACTAGGGGTTAAAGCTTGATTTATGTTTGGGGAGGGACAGAGTGCCCTTGTCTAAAGTAGGGTGCGCTTTTTAGATGCCTAAAGCAATAAACCCTGATCTCAATACAAAAAGTTCTTGAATGAAATTATTTCATGAGTGCATTGCATAAGGGTATTTAACCATGCAAAGCAGCTGTGAGGCGAAGCACAGCTGAGGTGCTTGAAGCTAAATGCCGACACATCTTGATGGTGACATGCCATTGTTCCGATGGCCTTTATGTATACACATACACATGTTCATGTCTTTTGCAGGTGTTTTTTCACAAGTATAATGACCTTTGGGAAAAGACTAAACTCCCTTTAATATCCATTTGTTTCTTCTTTTGCAATCAGTGCGACAGTCAAACTCTGTGAAATCATCAAAAGTACTTGGTCAGCTTTAGGCAACAACAGTTCTTGGTTAGGAATTGATGTTACGGAATTGGCATAATGGAAGAGCGTTAGAAGTGGCCTTACGGAAAGTGGCCTTATGGAAAGTGGCGTTACGGAAAGGGGCTTTATTGAAGTGTGGAAGTTAGTCCTGTCTTTTGATTACGTTTAAATGATACAGCTTTACTTTATGAAGGCAGTGGTATGATGAACATTCAGAAATATAATTCTCAATTTAAACTAGATTTTAAAACCACAAAATGTTGTGTGTTGTGACAGAGATTAAATAGATATAGTAATTGATGCAGAAAAAAGTGCTTAGGCGACAGCTGAATCTTGTCAGCAGCAGCAGAAAGTTTTGCTCTTCAGAACATTTGCCAAGTTTAGTGCAGGATGTCCTTGTATGAAGTATCCAATGATGGTTTCCTCGGTTACTCTCTAATATTTGCTATAACCCAAAATGTACATGCAGTAGGTAGGCTACAGTTGTCATATGGTCTCAAAACCAGCTCTGTCTTTGCGGTACGCACATTCACCCACAGAGAAATATCTAACCCAGATTCAGACAGCAGCAGGACAGGACATCCTCTCCTTCTCCCTCCCTCTCTCTATCTCTGTCCCAGAACAGAACAGCAGGGTATTTCCTTGTGGAACACCAGGAGAAGCCCTGAAAGGTGAAACACAGTCACAGGGTATTTGCTGCAGATAGTCCCAGAGCTATATGATAGATATCTTCCTCACCAATTATGCAGCTCTTTGTCACACTTTCCTGGAGTCTGTTTCTAAATAGGCGCATCGTCTGTTTATGAACATTTAACAAACTTCTTAATATTGATCCGGTCGGGAAGAAGAGAGGTCAAAGGTGAGGTTTGCTGGAGAACAGAAGTGCTGAATCTGCTGTCCAAGTGGCTGA